GTTCTCAATCTCAAGAAAATTGCTTTTCTTGTTTAAAGGGTACTTTTTGTGACAATTGTTACAACTGCTCATGCTATTCTTTTTTTTATGCTATGTTGAGAAGTCTACTGCTTAATTTGCTGAAGAATAGGCATATTTAAAATACTGCGTTTAAGATGTGAAAGCATATTACAAATTATCTAAAGAAAGAACTCAAAGTAGAGCCATTTGAGGCTTGCAGATTAATGCCATCTTTAAAAAATTAGCCAAATTATTCTACCAAGAGAACTGCAAACTTTAGACAAGGTAGTGTTCACAGAATAGTATTCTGACAAATTATAATCAGACAAAGCTTGCTAAATTATTTCCATATCTTTGTATTGGAAAATACTTCATTTCTTCTCTTTCTAGCAGAGATGCAATGATCAACAGTCTTTATACTACAAATGACATCTCATGTGTCATTTCATAACAGAAAAAATATTTCATCTGAGCGATCTGACTTTGGACTCTGTACAAAAAAAGGTTGACTTTTAATTTTTATGTCCCATTATGCTCTCAGGAAGATTATTCTATCCTCTGCCACTATTCCCACATGCAAAGCGCATTCAGCCAGTTCTCCACCACCACCCTGTTATAGAAGGAGTACTTAAAAGCTTGATCTGCCTTGCAGAGTAGTAGTTTCTATTGAGATACTAGCCCAGCCTTCCCTAACTTGGTTACCCTGCAGATATGTTGGGACCATAACTCTTCGAATTCTCAGTTCTACAAGGTGTAGCTCTGCCACCTCTGGCCAGGGAAAGCTGCCCTCAAGAGTTGCTCAACACATTCTGGTTAATTTTATATTTATATGTTACAAACACACAAGTCAACAAAGAATGTGGCCCACAGTATAAATTTGTAAGACTGCAAGTTGCAGTGGTTATGAAACCAAAATGTATATTTTTTTATATGTGATCATTGTGTGAGGGTGCTTATTAATGATTCCTATTTCCTTCTAGCTGTTAAGAAAATCCTAAGACTATTAGCAAATTATACATTTAACTCATGCCATTTTCATCCAAATGGCCACAAACGATTTTGCAACAACCTGTATAGTAATCAGTCTGTAATCTGACTTGGAAGTACCCCATGTACAGTACATTTCAGAACAGACAAGTCAGATTACAATTATAGTATTAGAATCCACTGGATAATTTTTTGTTTTGATGGAGATACTGCTTGATATGCATCTGTGAATCAACATTCAGATAAAGGATCAAAGCAATTGGGTATTTTCAAAATAGGAGGCTCTGCAGTCAATATTACATATTAATTTTAAAAAGCTTTTATCACATTGTTGAAATTACATATTTACATTTTTGAAATATGTCCTTATTTGCCAGTGTCACATGGGGAAAGAAAATATCTGCTGTTGGGATAAATCTATCTGAAATAATTACATTTTATAATCCAGGACTGCTTTTGGATAGATATGACTAATATCTCTTTCCCCACCCCAACCCCCTATCAGAAAGCAATGTGTTTCAATATCTGTATTTACACTGGAAAAAGGTGAATTAGTAGGACTGAATCAATGTGTTGTACATTTAAGCACTTAGGCTTAATTAGTTTGGGGCCTGTGATACAGGCTTGAATGCCACTGATGTACTATTAAAAAAACTAGTTCCTCTTCATAGAAGAGCCACAGTCTGAATTTATTTTTCTCTCTAATATCTTTCATACACTAATATTACACAAAAACAGAACCCTATGATGTAGCTCCTCCATAAACAGAAAAAAATAAACTTGCTGTGTTCAGACATAATGCTAAGCCAGGATTCTTCAAATTACGGGTTGGACAGGCCATAGTGGCCTGCTTCATGCATAATGACACCATAATGGTTGGATTTTCCTATTATACAGATCTAAAAAGAAACAAATCAAGCTAAGCAAATATATTTCAGTTTGGCATCCTACCAAGGCATAAAATGCACTTCATCTCAGCAACAGATATTCTGATTATGCTGTGGACTGTATAGTCTTTCTTTCTGTCATATATATGTTAGCCAGTCATGGCTCTGAGGAGGCATTTGGGGTGAGGAAGAGTTGCTTGCATACAGCCCCCACCAGTAGCATTCTGTAAGAATAGTTCAGGGCATCCTTTGGCACACCATACCTCCATTAGAGATCTTTCCCCTTTAGCATCTATAGCTACAAGACTATAGCAACATCAGTATTCAAGAGGAGCATGCTAATGGAACTAGCTTTTTAATTTCCCACAATACAGTGGAATATTTCTACGTTATAGGCATTTTAACAGTGGTTCCCAGACTACGTTGTCACATCAGGGCTTTACCTTTAAGAGGAACGAACTAAGGCAGGCATCTTCATGGCCCAAGAATTAGTGAAGATGGTGGGTCTTTGTTTTTAGCTGCATAGTTTTTGCTATCTGCAGTCTTCCTTCCTTTCCTTCCTTCCAAGCAAACTTGGATGCAACATTTAAAATTGCTTTCTGTGTTTTGAGTGGCAGGTCACAACAAATGTTTGATTCCCCCTCTCCTCTATGAATTAAAATAGTTTGGTAAGACATCTCAATAGACTTCATGGACTTGTGGGGGCGGGGGGGGCGGTGCAGTGTTGTTGGATTTGCAGTAGCATGACCTGAACTTGTTTATCTAATAAAGTCGAAGTACACAGCCTTTTTCATGCCAGGAACCACACTTTCTTTTGAATAAAATCCTGGAGATTACCCTAGCCCAAATTATTATTGATGCCTTCAAGTCAGTGATGATTCCTGGCGACTTCCCTGGATTACCCCTTGCAGGTTTCTTGGCAAGGTTTTTCAGAAGTGGCTTGCCATTGGCTGCCTCCTAGGGCTGAGAGAGAGGGACTGGCCCAAGGCCACCCAGCTGGCTTTGTATCTGAAGTAGGACTAGAACTCATGGTCTCCCCATTTCCAGCCTGGTGCCTTCACCACTACACCAAACTGGCTCTCACTCAAATCAATAGATGCAAGTTATTTAAGCAGAGCAGAAGGTCTTTCCTAGAGAGATCATGAATACTCTTATGAAGCAAAGAAAGCTGTTTTGGATATGGGAAAAACTCATTAGTTTGGCAAAGAAGTGGTGAGAAACTTATATGAGCTGTAGCTGAACTCATGAGAAATGAACAGTCTGTGTTGTAAGGTCAAAGAGAACTCTATAGCAGGGGGGCAGAAAGAATTGGATACCTCTTTCAGCAACGTGCTTAGTTTATTGTTATTTTTATATATAAGAGAAATAAATAGGAAGCTTGGACACTGCAATCTGAAATGCTAACATTTAGCACTACCTGTATTTCCAAGAATGCCTCTACTCACCTACCCCCATATTGTCCTTAAACAAAAATAGTAGGTAGCTGCAGTACCCACTTGTTTAAAAAAAAAAAAAAGAGGGAAGCTAGTATGCAGGTAGAAAGCAGCCACCCCAATTTACCCTCAGCTAGATTTGTGTTTTGAAGAAACACATTCTATCCCAGTAGCCCTATCATGAAACCATACAGTCCATCCACCTAAACACCCATTTTGCTAGAGCAACCATCTCATTCTCAAAGCTGTAAACACACCCACTGGCCTGGAAAGACACTTGTGGATTAGAACCTCTCATATATTGGAAACTAATTAAAGAACAGAAAGCAAGAGAGCTAGAATTAATGGTTATTACTCACAATTATCCTAGTTTACAGGCCAGCAAACACAGAGGCCAAGGAAGTAACCTTCTGCCACTGTGAGGCAACAACAAGGCAATCTGGAGACAATCCAAAGATCAGCAACAAAGACTGGACTGAACTTAAGCAAGAGTACTGAACCTTGAGCAAGAAGCATTTTACAAGAGATGATTACAAAACTATCTATAACCAGGAGCTTGGCACATGACCTATATCAGCATACCCCACTTGACCCAAATACTATTCCATCCCTAGGCTGTAATTGAGTGAAGGCTTTTATCCTTGTCCTCCAAAGCTTCTTTCCATAATTAGTTGTTGCTTATTAAGGGCAAGCCAAATACTTGAACTTCTGAGTAGACTGTTACTCCAAGGGAGTCTTTTCTTGCAACTGAGCATTCCTGCATTTCTCAGCCTTCTAGCTACATATCCTGAACTGTCCGCATTCTTCAGACCTTTGTAGACTTTCCAGCTCTGGGTCAGACTCGGACTCAGCTGCTAGAAACTGGTCCTTATGGAGGACAGGTCAGGCACAGCCTCCATGGAATCCTGAGTTCTTGGGTTTCTGCCTCATGCTTGGATAAGGACTTCGAGGGGTGGGAGTGCAAGATAGCAGTGAAGGATGTAACTACCAGCTTTGGCTGAAAAACAACTCTTGCACCACCATTAGATGGAGGTGTTTTTTTGGGGGGGGAATATCTAATGGTCCTCTTAATATAACAGAAAACACTTCTGCTGAGACTGATGTGGTTTCTTTAGCCCTTTGAGAGAAATACTTTGTGCTAACTTGCTTGTGAAGCAGAGCTCTAGTAAAAACAGACATTGTGACTTGTTCATTCTGGTTTATGGTTTAATGTGTGTGACCACAACCAGCACACGGCTTATGTGGGTGGTGGTGTTTCAGTCCTTGGGCCAGTACAGCACACCTATCTTTCATCGTAAAATCTGGAGTTTTAGTCAAAATGAACCAGAACTAGATCCCACTAGTCTTCAATCTGCAGGATTTTACCAACTGAGATTGCCCAAGGAAAATAATAAATACAAATGCCTGAAAGTATGTTTAGTTCTAAAGCTCAAAACTTACAATTATGAGTAAGGGAATGAAATCAACAAAAGGGCTTGTTTGAAATAGTATTATCCTCAAAATTGGTCTGTTTTTGTTAATGTCTGTGACCATATTTAGCATGTATTGGGAGAGTGGGAGTAGTTTTGCAGACTGGTACTGTTCTTGATAATGTTGTTTTTCTGCTCTTCTAATTAGATATTTTCTGATTAAACATTATTTCATTGCATAAACATAAAAAACCTAAACACAGTCTCTTGTATAACCACCAATGATAAACATCCTTGGTTCATGTGCTGTCAATCTGGGATTAATAGCTGCCAACTGATACAAACATCCGGATTATATTTGCAAAAAGAAGTTTTGAAAATCAAGTGTTCAACTCTTCTGCAGAGAGCTTGCCTTAGAGAAAGGTAAGGGAGGCTGTAGCAGATCAACAAGCTTCCTTCACCACTCCATTCTAGCTAAATCACATTCCATCAAGCCATCTGAAACAGTAGCTAAAAAGCAGAGCCTGTCTAAGGGATTTGGTTGTCCAAGCAGAATAAATGTTGTCCATTAAAGCCATAATATGCAAAATCTGCTGCGTAAGGGAGCCAGTTGTGCTATCCAGTTGTGAGTAGATAACAGAATTGGGCCCCCTCTGTCCTTCCATCGGCAATCTGAGTACTAGTTCTGCAGCCTGCCTGGGTGATTCTGCATTATTCATGTTTGATGAATACATTCTTGTCTTGCTGCTCAAAGCAACTAGCACTTGGTTTCCAAGTGGTTTCCCATCCAAAGGATTTGTAGAACTAGGTTTAACTTCACTGTGTATCAGGTACCTTGAGACTAACCATTTTCTGGATATCATGGAAACAGCCATTAATTAGCTTGAGATTGACACTTAAACAGGCCATGTATATCTATGTACTCTGAGAAGTCTAGTTCAAAGCAAACAGTGCAAGGGACATTTATGCCATTTTTATCTGTATAATTTTGGGTTGTTTACAGTCATCTTCAGAGTCAAAAACTGGTTGTTTATAGTCATCTTCAAGAGAATATTTGCCAAGATTTCTGAAGTAGCTAAAAGACATGGTTGAAAAGAAGAGTCTCCGAGGCTCACAGTAGTGATAATTATGAACTAGCAAGTGTGCAAGATACAGTACACAAGAAGAAACAGAAACCATGAAGACGAGGGGCTCGTAACTTTATGTACATGCTACTGCATCTCTTCTGTGCAGATGAATAATTGATTTCTCCATGGTCCACTGATACATCCCATTTTTCTCCTGTGATTATTTTAAAAATCTGGTAACAATAAGGCATTTTTGGATAATAGGCTATGTATGGAATCAGGAATCAGTTGTATGATAAAATTATGTTTTTTTTAAAAAAACAATGAAGTTTGCAAACTAGGAAAAGCATGCCATTGGCAGTTATTCCATGCCAAAAAGAAATATGTCAGATTCCACAAAGATTGTGCAGGAGGACTCCTCTAAGTTAAAGTCATGGCTAGTAGTGATAATGCTATATAGATGTTAAGCTCAGATTTTTGTCATTGTTGTAAAAATGACTCAATGAAGGCCCCTGTGAGGTGGCTTAAGACATGGTCCACCTCTTCAACAAACACATGGATCTAAAATGGGGGTCTTTATTGTTTAGAAAACACCTTTGAAAGCCATCAGGATTTTCCCCAATCATAGTCCCCACCTCCAACCTAACATTAATACTTAGGGCTATAAATCAAGCTCAATGTATCCTTTGGACCAGAAACATATACACGTTTACTGGAAAACAATTCGCAGTGAGTCAGTGCCGCAGTAGACAGGGGGAAACCCTTTTTCTTAAGCATTACATCAACTATGTGCATGTTTATCTTTCACTATTCCCCTTAAATAGATTTAGAGATGGTCCTGGAGTAGAAATTGTGGTGCTTAAACATGCTAAGATAATACACCAGTTCTTTTCATTTATCAAAAAGCGATTAGAACTCCGCAATTCATTATTTGCATTTTTTAGTTTACCCCCAAAAAGCACTGAAGGAAGTAGAGTCACCTTTTGTCTTTTATGTTAAAAACATCTGTTGAATCTGGACAATTGGTGCAGGGTTTCCAGTTCTACTTACAAGTTTTCTAAAAGATTTCTACACATCAGGCTTCATGCACATTTCAGGTTTGCTAATCCTCTCTTGACAGTTCTATCCTCTCAGCTAAGAGTTTACAAGGGAATTTATATAGTTGAAGGAGCATTGGGAAACAGAGCTCTATCAGTTTTCCCTGTATTTGCAAGCCATTCACTCTGATTAGGCAGTTCTGAGCTCACATTTTTACAGCTTAGCCTGTATTCAGTGCCTTTATGGAAACAAAAGAAGTGGGCAGGCATGCACATTCCAAGTCCAAGGATTTGCTAGCTTTATCTCACATCGTGTACTGGATAATGTCTCTGGTTGTATTCTAGCTTAAGTGGCCATAGCTTTATAAACATTTAGAAAGGAAGAAAAAGATGTTTGTGGTCCTTTTAAAAAATATATTTATTAAGGAAAACGATGCTTGTAATCCTGATATCCTGGGCATTCTACATTTAAGAGCAGACTTTCTGCTGCCCTTCAGACATTTGAACTTCAGCTGCCACAATCCTGCAGAAAGAATGGGAAATAGCCAGACTAGCTGCAGAATTATCAGAGTAGAAGTTCAAGACATCTGTGGTAATCAGCTGGTTGGCCAAGACTGACATGGAGGGTTGGACTCAAAAGACAGGAAAACCTAAATATTCCCCATAGCCCAGATTTATAAACCAGTCTTGGATTTCTCTGTGTATAATTTTCTAGTATTCCTAATAGATTTTTTTGCGTGAGACCAATCTCTAAAGTAGTCTGCCACAAAGGCAACTAGGAAAGATTTCTGGGAAGGGGCTCTTAACCAAATGGTATTAGAAAGTGCTGTTTAAGGGTCTTTTAAAGAAACTGTCAGTGTTCTTCATCTAGGCCAAATCTTGCCTGTACTCTTTGGAATGCTGAAGACAAAGGATTTTCTGTGATCTCAAAGAAGCCAGCAGCCTGGCCCAGCTCTCAGGCATCTTGAGCTATGACATCAGAGCACCTGAGTAATAGGTAGGCAATAGGTAGACCACACTTGCACAAACAAGAAGCTACAATGTTAGATGGGCTCCCTGAAATACTGTATGTAGACAGGTTCAGAAAATAAATCTGAGGCAGAGGAGAAAAGACACAAGGTGATTCCAAGGCATATGTTCACTGGTGGCTAATTCTCTACTGATTTGGTTATATAGTCCAGGAGAAAGTACCATGGGAAGACTAAGGAACTGACAAATGTTTACTCTGGAAATGCCACTAAATGCTACTTCCTACTTGTATTAGTGTGGGTTTATGTCTGTGTGTGTGTGGAAAACTTCACCCTTCCACCTTCTGTACACCATGCATAGCTGTACAACCTTCATAATACCCCATCAATCTAAGCTTTGTATTTTTGCTAAACCAACTTCAAGGCCTGAGACTGGGAGCTAACCTAATGAATGACTGGACAGTTCAGGTGCAGCAGGTTATATTTTTGGCAACTCTGTGCCCTACCATTCACAATTAATACAGCATTTCTGGATTGGACAGGAAGTAGGCATCCTATCTTTGTCTTGTTTCCTTGCTGCATGTCAGTTTCACATATCCCTGGTTTAAGCCACTGATTTTTGGGGGAAGCTGAAAGAATACTGGCCTAGATTCCAGCCTAGCCAGCCATGCCACCAACCCATCAAGTAGTGAAGAGAAGCAGAAATGGTGTGCCTATCAAGAACAGGGGGCTTAGAAAATCATTCATTCTTTCTGAGAAATCACGGCATCCATCAGAGGGAATGAGGGAGACAGAGTCCCGAGTTCAGGCAGGCTGATACCAGCTTATAGATGGAACGATGTGATAGTTAGCTCATGTAGTATGGAATGCATGGAGCGAGAATGATCTCACAGCTCTACCAGCGCTGTATCAGTTCTGTTGTAAAGACTGCAGGAATGTCCTCTGAACTCTCTGTGCTTTGAACTTTGTGTTTCCACAGGTGGAACTGGCTGACCTATGCAGCAAGAGCGAACGTTACATTGGCACTGAAGGAGGTGGCATGGACCAATCCATCTGTTTTCTTGCAGAAAAAGGAACTGTATGTACCGCCTGAACAGTACAAGGAAGGTGTTCAAGAGATGCTTTGGGATAATTGCCACGCTCAGCAATATGCAAAGGGCTGAAATATGTGTGATGTTACTAGTATGGGGAAATGTAGCACTAAAGTGTCATTTCTCTCTCTCTTCTAAATGGACATGCTGAAGTTTTGCAACCAGACTTTCTGCTATATCCTGATTAAAAATCCCTGTGGCTATTGCAGGCCAAATACAGATGCTGCTGATTGGAGTTATTAATTCTGCTAAATAAGAAATTGACTATCAAGTTTATCAATTGTGGCAAGTAAAAAAAACAACAACCAGAGAAATAAAATAAACATCAATAATATCCTGGATGACAAAATTTAAAAACTATCTCCCGGGGGGAAACGTGCTCAGATTCAATGAGTAACTTTGTGCCAGTGTTCATAAGTAGCTTGGTTTGGTTTGGTTTGATGTTAGTTTTTCCCTTATTAATTAGAGATTCCCTGAGATGAAGGAAGTAAAATGTCCAAAGGTAACGCTGTTTGATTTATTGATTTTAAACATAGCCAGGCTACCAGTTTTAATTATTCTCAACTGTTCCTTCTTTTCATAGGCAAAGCTGCTAGAATTTAATCCTCTAAAGGCAACTGATGTGAAGCTTCCAGAAGGAGCAATTTTTGTGATTGCAAACAGTTGCGTTGAAATGAACAAGGCCGCGACTTCTCATTTCAATATTAGGGTGATGGAGTGTCGTCTGGCTACAAAGGTACTGTATGGCTTTCATCAAACTCTAATGAAACCATCACCCAAATATGTGCTGGCTGGAACACCCTTTTACTCTACCAGTTGTTGCTTTATTTTAACACCAGGTCAGGTGCTGCCTCAAAGGGCATGTTTATCTCTCTGGGATCTGGACTCAGGCCATATACACATGATGGATGGAAGCGTGGATGGAATTTAGCCCTGAATATCTGCCTTTCCATTTGGAGAGCAGGCTAGTAAAAGAGGTCTGCATGGGCGGTTGAGAATGAATGATTTTTCTTGAGACAGTTCTCACGCAAGGAGAGTGGGGGGATGTTCCCTCAGCGATGTAAAGGGAAGCGAGGCATTTTAATGGCAATAAAAAACAACCTAAAGAAGGCAACATTAGAAATCAGTTTCAGAGATTGGTGTCAAGGAACACTCAGTGCAAAATGCTTTATCAGAAGCCAGGCCTATAGACCTGCTTACACACAAAGGTTGCAGTAAGCCATCCAGTAAGATTGTTACACTTACTAAAAACTAAGGAAGAATATTTGCATATTCTGCTGGTTAAGAAAGCCAGCAAGTTATAAAAAAGAGGTATCAGGAGAGATCTCCAGAGATTTTGCTACTTGAGGAATCCCTCGTGATTTCAATGTACAGTTATGCCAAACTTGGGTCAGGCAATATGGTACCCATTGACCGTAATGAACCAGCCTACTGGCTTCTTTGTTCAAATCCTTTTAAAAATGCTCTTTCAATTAAAAGGGAAATTAAACGAGAACCCAGCATGGTACAAAGCAAAGCACTAACCCCTAGCAGTCTCTCTATTCACCCAAATGTTCCTGGGCCTACTTGGATTCTTGGAGCTGTTTTAGCAATCTTATCAAATTACACTTTCCTGGATTCTTTGGGGGGGAGGCAAAACAGTTAACTGGAATGAGAATGATATAAATGTGTAGCATAAGAATGTGGTTCCCAAACTGGCCTACAGCTTGACAGCAATATCCAGGCAGAGGTGCCAGAAAAGGGGAACATTATCTTGGCAGCAAAAACCTAACTGGAAGAGACGGCAAATCCTTTCGCCATCTGATTGTTAACTGCCAGGAAATGCCTTGCTTTAGAGTCATTATTATCAAATGAAGTGCAATAGAAAGTTTGACCAATCCTTAACATTAAACAAAGGAAAAATACCATTGCTCTGAAGACAGCTCCATCCCTTTAGAGTTGCCAATGCAAACTGAGCAGAAGTCCTATATGATGTCCCACTTATACGGTTTTACTTGTGGGTGAGGGTGAGGAAGAGGTGAAAATTGGAATGCTTGGTCCGCAGTTCTCGTAACTGCACAGTGCTTGGTCTCTACTTTTTTTTTTGTGCCTTTGAGTCAGTGTTGACTTCCGGCGGCTGCCTGGATGAGTCCCTGTAGTTTTCCTGGCAGGGTTTTTCAGAAGTGGCTTGCCATTGCCTCCTTCCTAGGGCTGAGAGAGAATGACTGGCTCAAGGCCACCCAGCTGACTTTGTGCCCAGGTAGGACTAGAACTCCCAGTTTCCTGGTTTCTAGTCCAGTGCCTTAACCATTACACCAAACTGGCTCTTCCTGGTCTCTACATAGCAGTCTTCGATTTGTCACTAGTATCTCCATAAGCATTCAATAAGTTTACCATTTTTTTTAAGTTGCTCAAAAAAAAATCTGTGCTATTGCATCTCACATGATCTAGGGAGAAGGGTGTAATAGAAACTAGACTCTTTTAAATGTGTAGCAAGGAATCAACCAATCTGCCTCCTTCAGGCCCTGCCAGCTGTAGTTAGAGAAATCAAATCCAAAGCCTTAAGGAAGATACATGGGGATTGTCAGTTTCAATTTTTTGGCAGAACATAATGCCTAATGGCATTCTCAGTTATTAGGGGCTGACAGTGACTCTTACCTTACCTGGCAGTACATCCTCGTGAATTGACTCTGAGGAGGGTTTCTGATTGAATTTTTTTAAAAAAACAAACCTCAGGAAGGTCACTAGATGGCACCAAAAGTAATTAATGTTGTAATAATTAACAAGGAAAATAAAACAGGACAGACGGAGGAAAACAGAACCGGACTAAAACAGAAAAAAAAACAATTAGACAACCGCAGTAGCTCTAATGTATTAATTACATTAATCTTTCTTAATGTTTTCCCATCCCCCCAATGTATAGCTTTATTTTTTCCAGCATAAAAAACGAGGAGGAGTCTGGTGGGGCCTTTCCGACTAACACGTTTTATTAAAGGGCAGATGGTTTCTCTTTTCACTCCCAGTGCTTTACTGTAGGAAGAAGATTGCAGTGAAAATGCCACCCGGTTTGTAGTTTTTCTGCATTTCTCTCACAGTTTCCTTGTTCCCTACTAGGCTGCACCGACATCATGCATGTGCCACAATACCATAAGCTCAAATACATGGAGCATGACGGCCCATTTGCACTTCTCTAGAGGGGAGCTAAATGCATTTTCTCAGCGTAATCTAGAAGTGGGAGTGCAGATCACATGCTTTGCTTGAAAAAGATTTGAACCTCTTATTAAAGATTTGCTCTGACCAAAAAAGAAGAAAAAAAAAAAAGCAAGCGTTTCCATTTAGACACAGCTGTGGTTAAAAATATGTTTCTCCTTACAGAAAACCCCTAATTAAAAAACCTGAAAGAAACAAACAATGGCCTTTTGGGATATTTACAATGAAAGGTTTCATCACTAAGTGTATTTTTGCACCCTTGTCTTCAGGGAAAGTAACCACAACTGCTGCTCTGGCCGAGCAGAAGCTGGACTGGTGCCAGGATTTAATGTGACCCAGGGCTCTCTGAGACGCAGCACATGTCTTGTTCTCTGTGCCACTAAATGCCTTTGACCATGTACAGTCTTTCACGGCCACTGAATAACTGCAATTAACCCACCCGCGCACCCTCTCTGCAATCTAGGCCAGGAGGTCTAACTTAAGCAGGCTGGAGGCCTTGTTTAGAAACTAAGAACTGACAGCGGCCTCCCTCAGTGGTGCTCTTTGTGTGCAGGTTTGCTCCGTTTTTCGTTACGCACACACTCTCCTCTCCCAACCTCAGCTCAAGTTTGGGAAAATGTATATAGTGCCAATGTTTTGGGGTGACTCTGCAAAAGCATTTTTAGTCTGGTTGGATGATTCCTTCTGAGCCGAGTGGAACCTCCCAGGAAAGAGGAGGCACCGTTGTCAACGTTAGATCAAAATTAACCAGGGCAGAAATAATCATTCCAGAAATAGCCCATCATTCTTAGGATACATGAACCCAGCAGCTGCTGGTATATTCCTTTAAAGAGTACAGGATCTGTTGGCAGGAAGGCCTTAGAACTTCAGGGATCACCATTGTGCCTGGCGCACTAATAAGGCCAAGAAAATGTCCAGTCTTTTTCACAGATCTCCAAAAGAGTGGCCTGCTATTTTCTGATACAAGGGGTAGGAAAATCCTTAATGACACCTTCTTCCAGCTTATTAACGTGAGGAGGAAATTCTCTGTCCGGGCAAGGTTTGATAAAGTTCTTATTCATTTTGATGTGGTCCTCAAAGACTTTTGGTTTCTAGTAGATTAGCCTCATGGGACTCCAATCCATGTATTTTTGTTGCACTTAAAATCCATCACTCTGAGAGGGCTGCCTGAGAAGAACTGAGCCAAGATTAAATCACAACTTATCACAACTCTTTAACCATTGTGTTCCAGAAAATTCAAGAGCATCAGTAGATTAGATGATCTTTAAAATGATGAGAGAAGTAACTGAAGGACGGTCTATTAACATTCGTTCGCCTAGATGGCCACAAGAAATGACTGTATACCTCTGAATGCTATATACTCAGGACAAGCAACAGGAAAATGCTAGCTTAGCTTTATACACTGCTTGTAACTTCCAAGGGGCATTTGATATGTTATTTTTTAATATGATTCTTGGGTTATATAAATTGAATCTTGCTTATGTTTTACTTTTTAGGTTATCTGTACAATTTTTCAAGATCCCCAAATTTAAAGGAAGCAAAACTTTTTTTTCCTCTCTGTCTCTCTCATTCTATTTTACCTAACAAAATCTCTGCTGCCAAAGTCACATGAAAAATTCTTGATGACTTAATATTCTTCTATTTTCTTTTAAAGAAAAAAAATGTTTCTAAGGTTTCTTTACTTTAAGAAAATTTTGGATTAACTTCTTTCTGTTCCTAATTTTGCATCCGAAGACATACTTATATGTTACTTGTTGCAGCTTTTAGCAAAATCCAGAGGCCTAGACTGGAAAGCAGTGGTGAAGCTCCAAGATGTGCAAGTCAAGCTGAAGCTAAGCTTAGAGGAAATGCTGGCTGTAGTTGAAGAGGAGTTTCACCCTGAGCCTTATAGCATAGAGGAAATTGGGGAAAACCTGGGAATTAGCCCCACAGAACTACGCACTCAGATCCTTAGCCAGAACACACAAGATGGTAAGTAGCATGCCAATTTGGTGGTGGCAGAAGCGATTAAGCATTTCTGTGTATGCCAAAGAGCTTAAATAATCAATGTGAAAAAAGACCTAAAAAATGTTCTGGGCATTGCAATCAGCTATAATCTGGCTCCAGGGAACCAGATCAGTAGACCTAGACATTACTTTTTCTTCCTAGAATAGCTGTCGGTTACATAACAGTTTCTGGCTTTTAGCTGAAACAAGTTGTGAACATGCTCATTCTAAAGCATGCCATGCAACCATTGTGAAGAATGAACATTTCTCCCCAAATGACTAGGACAACACAAGAAACAAGTGAATTGAGTTTTGGGTTCAGAGAAAGAAGAACCTGCTTCAAATTCCTACAGCCATGACAAGGGGAAGATGATGGTTATAGGTAAATTTGTATTGCTCTTTTATAGGTTGTATACAATTCTTACCTGTAAGATTTACCATGTAGAGAATCATCAGCAATCTGCAAACCAGTGTTTTTTTACTTCTTGTACACACCACTGGGAAGCCATAGTTGACTGCAGCTCCCCGGCCTGAGAGAAACACAGAGAAACAGCCATCTTTCATTACAATCTAAGCAACCAGAATGGTGGTTCATTTTGTATCCATGAAAATCACCCAACATAAAACTAGATTTCAATATATCCTACCTAATGCTTTTAAGATACAGCAGGAGCTAAAGAATAATTGCATAATACCCCTGTTCCTCAACTTGCATTACATGATAATTCTAAGGGGGCAGAAATTCTGGTTCTGACATTTGATCAGAGCAATTTGAAACCTGCATGTTTCAAAACCTTTTTTAAAAAAATGAGTTTGTTGTGTAAGACATCTAGCATGTGTTCTGAATTCTCTTCTTTGAAATATGTATATGCTATTTTGATCTTGATAATTTCTTCTTTAAGATAACTTTTGATTTGGGAAAGGAACTAAATTCCCCTGTAAGTGCTTGCCTGATAGCCCTAACTGTTGTTGCCTATTATTATAATCAGCCAACAACGTACACATCATAGCTTTCAGATTTTTGGCTATGAATATATTTAAAACCTGTATCTTCCTTCTCCACTTACTGCAATATAGGAAAGAAAACAAGAAAAAAAAATTTTTTTTTAGAAGTATCGAGTTTTGAATGGTGAGTTAAGAACCATACTTCATTGTGGGGTCCCAATTTCCTGTTCAACTATATTGAGTTTTGACATGTGATTACAGCAGTCAGTATTCACAGAAATAGTACCAGCCTCATCTAGACCTTTTGAAATTTTTAAAGCGTGCTTTGCATGGCTAGAACATAGTTGGTCAAATTCTGTATTGATTAGACTTCCACCTCAAAAACTCTAATTCTTGGCACCACACTGAAAAGGGGTTCTGGAAAACAGTGGCAAAGACGATTAGTGAGGATTCTCATATAACAGAAACTAAGTCACATGAGAACATTGCAGATACTGGGAATGTCTATCCTTGAGAAGAGAAGAATGAGGGATAGTATGATAGCTGTCACAGGGAAGAAGGTTTAGACCTCTTCTTTGTCATCCTAGGCTGCAGGATCTGGGTGTCATTATCTCCTATTGGGAGGGCTAGTTCAGTGCAGTTACAAAGGAGATGGTGAGTTCTCCTTCACTGGATGTAGTCAAGCACAGTCTGGGGAGCTATCTTGGAGAGATGTTTTATTTAACATTCCTGCACCGACCACAGGAATGTACTCAGTGACCTCAGTAGCCTTTTCCAAATCTATGATTGTGTGGTCATTGGCTTTGTTATTTTTTAATTCTTAAAAGACACCAGATGGATAGTGGGTACCAGCATTTTCCATATCTTGGCAGTATAGTGTTAGTGAAGCCACAGGGACCAAAGGCAACGAAGAAGAAAGGGTGGAGCTGTTTAAGGAAATTTTGTGGGCTGATTCTCATTAATTAAGGGAAGTGATATGTTAGTGACATGTTGACTATCCTTTTTCAGATTTGTTCCAGAAGAATAGAGAACTGTAGACTCCAATTATTTTGCCTCCTCTTTTTTCCCCCTTCTCTTAAACATCAAGACCGTATGAAAGATTTTCCAAAGCCCAAGGGAAAAGCTATTCCATCTAGTGTTTGCAGATGTTAGTCAAGTAGAATCTCTCTTAAAATGTGGCGTGACTGTGATTTTGTTTGATAAGGCCAGAAAAAATGGGTCATGGAGCAATCCTGTTGTTTTCCTTGGTACAAGACAAATCTTGGTTACAGATTCTTTTGAGTTGCAAAGAAGAAATAAGTAAATTTTAAAAAATCAGAACCTATTGTTTGTATAACCCCAAGCTTGGGTTTGGAATGCTCAGATACTATGAATGTGAACATATCTGCCTCTCTTCTTTGCTATTTTTTCCCAATATATTTATATATTGTTGCAGATTGCTGTGGGGATACATATAAATGTATTCAAAACGTCAAAAGTGACCTTTGTAGGGCTTTTCTAAAATATTCCAGTATTTTAGTTTTTGGCAGTTGAGATTATCTATGCCTCATACTTGCACTCTGTATTAGAAGATGGGCTGCTGGTTGACCATTGGATTCATCTATTTATTACCATCTTTGTGCCAATGTTTTCAAGATTATTTATATTTCTAAATGACTAATGCAATTATTACCCAAAAAAAAAAAAGCAACAAAACCTTCTCAAGCCCGTTAAAAAGTCTCTACAGGACCTGTCAGCAGAAATTCTGTGACCAGGATTTTAATCCTCTGTCTTCCCTGAAGATTGACAGTCTTAAGCACTCCCGGGACTGGTAAAAGAACATTATTTTCAAGGCCGCTGGAGGTCTTTTTCGGAGCAAATGCCACAAGATCTTTGGTTTTGGTTTCTTCCTTCTGGTGGCAGCATTAAATTCTGCTTTGTTTTTAGCAACCCCCCTTTTGGAGAGAATAGAGATTTTAGTTCCATTTGAAGGAAAGATCTTATTTCCTAGTTATTTACCTGCAGAACTGTAGTACATCCACACCACCTGTTCTGCTTTGTTCTTCTCACTAGGTTAATGAAAAGGAAAAAAAGTGACATTTAAAAAAACATGCCCCATCAAACCAAGACATTCCTCAATAAAACCATGACTTCACTTCCCTATAAAATGTGGGATTTTTTTTTCTTTTATGGTATTTTAAAGCCATTTTGTTCTCTCTCATAATTTTTTTTTTTTTTCAATCTAATTGTGACATGGAAACCTGAGGGTGGAATTATTCTCAGTCTTAAAAGCATCCAATCAAGTTGCTGTGAGCTTGCCACATCTTTTAAAAACGTAGCTCTGTACCGTGGAAAATAACAATGGCCAAAATAAATCTCAAGGTACTGTAGAACTTTAGAAAGTAGGATCAGAAGCTTATC